CCTGTTCAGGTGTCTGTCCCAAACCCTGCTGGAGATGGAGTCCTTGACTAAAGGGTAAAGAATTTAAACTGAGAGTAGGTTTAAGTTAGATGTATGAAGAAATTCTTCCTTGTGACATTTCCCAGAGAAGCTGTGGCTGTCCCTTCCCTGGAAGAGCTCAAGGCCATGCTGGACAGGGCTYTGGGCAGCCTGGTTTCGTGGAAGATGTCTCTGCCCATGGCAGGTGGGCTGGACCTAAATGATCTTTAAGTTCCCTTCTAACAAAAACCAATCCATGATTCTCTGATGATTTCAATGAAAGGCAGGCAGGAGAGGCTGAGTCAGAACAMGTTCTGATGGCCTCAGTGTGCTTCATGAATTTTAGTGAGCTACTATTCTCTGTGGTTAAGATATTAAAATCTAATGTGACTCCAGGGAAAGCAAAGGAAGGAAAAAAATAATGAAGCTTCTCAAATAGAATAAATTCAAGGTGAAAACTCATAGCTTTGCCTTAGGAATAAAGTAAGTGAAAGTTGGTTTAGAATAACACTATAGAGGTTGTTTCATTTTTCAAAGTTGTTTGGTAAATTAACAAAGTGTTAGTAGCATGTAGCTCTGGTATGATGTGCCATTAGTGAGATGTGTGTTTACCTCTCATAACTACTACATCTGTTAGATTTATTCATAAAAAGTCATCCACACAGTCAGGGCTTGTTAAATCTGACCAGGACAGCTCAGGGTGCACTGGGCACTAAGGGGAAATCCTGCCAGACAAACTCCAGGGCAGCTCTCACTGCGATTTGCACTCTGCCCTCAGTGAGAATTTGGCAACACCTGAGGTCTCAGAGGGTGTGTGCAGGTGTATCAGAGGGCAGTGGAGATCACTCTGCATCTGAAAGCTGCTGAAGGATTGGATTGTACTGACGGCRTGTGAGAAATTACAAAATACAAACCGGAATCTCTAGGAGCTGTTTATAAGAGAATGTTATTAAATTATCTGTTTTCACTAAAGTGAGCGTGTAGAAGTGGATTGTGAGTGCAGATCTAGATGAGTGCTTGTCACTGCTCTTTAGTGGTTTATTTCAAAATGCACTGCACAAGCCTCTGCCTGTGAATTTAATCCTCAGACACACCATTGATTTAAATATTTTCTCCCAGAAAATGGTGAGACATTTACCTATGTAGCAATCGGGGAAAAAAACAATCCTCCTTCCTTCTTATCCACATATACACAACACTCATCCAGCCAGAGGTGTAATAATCCCCATTTAGCTGCCAGAGCTGGTGGGAGAGTGGTGGCCCCAGGCAGAGATTAAGGGGCAAGTACAGTGAATGACTCCTTGTGTTATCTAACACAGCTTTGTGGGGGCTCTGTGGAGCCCTAAGTAATTGCTATCTGACCCTTCCCTTCAGCTGGAGCCGGCTTCAAATCCCCAATCAATAAAAAGAAGTTGCAGCGTGGCTTTGAATGAATAAGGMAGCAATTTTGCAGCGATTGAAAGCCGGCAGCTCGCTCTGATTCGGGGCTGAGCAGCCCTGGATTCGTGCACAGCTCAAGTTGGCTGAAGTTTGCTCCCCCTTCGTGACTGGATGTGGGGAAGGTTGTTATTGTGCTGACTCTTCGTGGCTCTGGAGGAACGGGTGTGCCCTGTTGGGATGTTGAAGGTACCRGAGTCACGCCTTGTGCAATTTGAGGGATCGTTGCGTATGGGGAAAGTCTTTACAATTCTCAATCCAAGAATGCAGAGTGAGCAGAGCTGCTCTCTCCAGGCAGATTTCCTGTCCTGGGCACTGCMGAGCTTTATTGCAATCGGAGATGTGAAGATATGAGTTACAGTCACAGCGACAGGTGTGCCATTTCCTGAAAAAGGAAAAGTTTATGGAGAGGGAAAATCGCAGCATTGTACAACACCAGGGGTGTGCAGGGTATGAAGTGACWGCCCCAAAGTTATAGTGGTGGAAAAGCATGAAATTAAAACACTGAGGTAGGAGTTTCAAGAGAAAGATGAACATTTTTGCGCTAAATTAACAGTCAGTAAAACACGGGGACTTGTCAAAACTTTAGTGTTTCCTAGGAGCATACCAGCTATGTTAAAATTAGTGTTAGAAAAGATMCTAAAGACCAGGTGAATTTTTGTTGTTTTGTCCTGAGCAAGAAACAGTCCCAGGGGCCAAGATGTAATCTAGGAGCTGTGGCATGAAAGTTCACATTTTTGCTTTTTCTCACTCAGTCTGGGTGCTTGAATCTGTGTTTCTCTCATCCCAAACAGTTGGGAATTTTGGCCTTTCACTGTTTCCAGGCACTGGCCTCATCAGCATGCCTTGTTAAATGGACATGGAAGTATCATTGGAGTCATTAGAGTTCAAAAGGGTGAAAATCCCTACCTGAAARTTTTAAATCCTGTAAGTACGTAAATGGATGGGTTGAATTGTGCATGCTGCTTTTGCTAGGAGAAAAATGCTTACACTTTGCAGGTTGAAAGCAGYCTGTAATTAAGGATAAATAAGTCATGGCCAATTTATTAGACTTGCTGTTATTTTGTGAGATAATTGTCTTTCAGATTTTCTTTCCTCTCTCTGCTGTGCTGATCCTGRCATTGCTGTTATTTATTGATATYAATGGARATAAAATGTAAMCCCAYTTTGCACATAGCARRAGAAGACAGCAGTGTGAAACCAGAAAGACACATCAAGCCATAAAGTGGCTTTTAGGTATTTCCCCAGCCTTTTGTTGTTGTTCTGTGTTTTCTCGTGTGCTGCTGTGTGTTGGTTTTGGTTTTTAAGCGCTGAGTGTGCCAGAGCTTGCAGTTTGCCTGCTGAGCCCATTCCTGATACTGGSTGGTGATTTATGCAGGGAAAAATACCTGACATARTGATAGGTCACTGAATCCCTCCAGYTGTGATTTATCTTTTATCTTTGGAAATGTACAGACTGTGGCCCTCCTTAATGAGTAAAGCATGAGAATCCCTTTTCCTGAGATGACATTCAGCTATTTCGCTCGAAAACAACCACAAAAAATACACTCAGGTTACATGCAAAATGGAAAGCTTTAAGTTGTTAGGTAACCTCATCCTCTAGAACTGGTCTAAAGAGCTGTTTGGAGGGTTTTGCTGCACATGTTCCAGCTCACCAGATGATCAGCAGCCACCAAAGGGGGAGAAATTGCCTCACCAGATTTCTGGGGCTTTTAGCTGTCTGAAAAAAAAATACAGAAATACTTGAGTTGCATCAGAAGTAAACTAAAATCCAGGAAACAGAGAATACTATTTTAGCAATGTTCCCATACTCATATGAAGCTGAACTTTTCTGGTCAGCTGCCAAATGCAGGTAATGAAAGGTTGTTTTGCATTTGGGAAGTGTACAAAACAAATGCTAAACACCAGTTACACTCAGCTGTCCCAGTCACGAGACTGCCTAGAGAACTGCTGATGATAAATGTTCACAATTATGGTATGGAAATACCATCAGGAATTTAGGGTGGAACAAGGCAGGGCCATCCGGGAGTAATGACATGGATTAAAGGAGARGGGAAAACTTCCTTGAGAGAGAAGTTTTGAAACGGACACGTTGGACTGGAGAAGTGCTGACTGTACAGTAAGAAATACTTTCACACAAGCCTGCAGGAGGGTAAACTTAGCAATTCCAGGTGGGAAAGTSTGCTGGATCATTCAGCTGCTTCTGACTGGAAACTGCAGCTGCTTCTCATGGATGTTTTTGCTCTCTGCAGTGCTTTGCTGAAGTCACTTAAGCATCTGCACCAAGTTCAGTGGTGCATGAGATGAGGGGAGGTTCAATATGTATGAATAGGTCCAAGTGTGTTTCCAAGCCAGATTTTTTCCATGCACAGGAGCACCAAAATCTGGGTAACAGCCAGAATGCTACACTGAGTTCTTTTATTTCTCCTCCTTATTGCTTTATTAGCAATTCCAGGATAATCTGTTGTTTCAGACTAATTTTACCCTGTTTTTGCAGGATTAGTRAGAGAACCATTGTAACAATCAGCTGAGGACACTGAAACACTCGAGGTCTGATCTCCATTTGCACCTGGGGAGTGGATGTACTGTGTCTGTACAGAAACTGCACAGGCTGTAGATAAAATATAGCAACATCTGAACAGAAGGCATCCCTTATCTTCATGAGTTCCCTTAATTAGCTTGGCATAGAATTAAACTGCCTTCCCTGTGGAATAAAAGTTTCTGCTCRTTTATTCTTTGTTTTCTGAATACTACCGAAGCCTTACCATTTATATAAATGTGGAATTTCTTTCCCCAAAGAGTCTTGAAGCATTTAAGCTTAATGCAGGATGAGAGAGAGGTCAATGAGTTAGGAGATTATTCCTGTGGAGAGGGAAGAACTTTTCTAGTCTGTAACAACACAGATTCTGTAGAGTATCTTGTAAGAAGCCAGAGAGGCTCAAGAAGGAGGTGAAGGGTGATTAGAGAGGTGTGAATGAAAGAATCACAATTCGAAGAGAAGGGGAGCAAGGTGGTACATGAAGCCCCATGAACAGGGTGCAGGAGCTGAATTTGAACTGGTACAAAATAAGTCAGACACAGAAATTTATCTCCTTGCAGGGACAGCAAATTGGTGCAACAGAGCAGCTCTAAATCCTCAAAGGCAAGATTACTCTGGAGATGAAGTGACCAAAGCAGGGGCTGCTGCTGAGGGTGGAAAACCACAGGACCTGCAGAGGAAAAGGCAGAACTTGTGTTTGAATGGCCATATTCATGTTAACAATTCAGTTACTTATCTCTTATGAAGTCACTTTAGAGCCACCTGTAAGTCCTTTGAATATGATTGACAATTACTGTGACTATTTGCTTTTCCTTCTTGGGGATTGTGAAATTTTAATCAAAATTACCTCAGTATAATAAGTTCGCAAAAGCTGAATTCCTAATGGTTTTTCCCCAACACTTTTACAATCTGATCAATCTTTAATAATGAGACTGAGCTTGTAAAAAAAAAACAAAACAATTTTCTACTCAGACAAAGCAATTTCATCAGAAATGAACCATCTTAAGTGAATACATTGATTTAGATTAAATTTGATGGGAAAATATCAAAATGAATAATTTTACCTTATTTCATTCTGGCAATGTTGAAATATTTTATATTGGCATTTTATTCATTTAATTTCAACTCCTATGGTATTTACATTATTTTGATGTTCCTATGCTATTGCATATAAGAGTTTCAGTGATCCAAACTCAGAATGTTTGTTATGTGCACTGAAAATAAATGTCAAAATGTTGGAATTTCCCGTGGGATCAGAATTCTGCCTTCTATTTACAATAAAAAGTGTAAAGAAATACAGTACTCCAGAGTAAGTCTGACCTTAGTCCTTCTCAGCTCTGGAATGCCAGGCAATCTAATATATGGATCAGGATTGTGTAATAAGATTTCTGAATGATTTATGCCAATCACATTTTCATTATTTCCTCACCAGTACTGGCAGTGGTAATTCTTTGTACACTAATGCATCTTTCCWATCCAGCTAGATAGAACTTCTGTGAAATAAACTGCCACAAGTCTCCTCGGAGCATGGCTTCCAGCTTTAAGGATTGTTCAGATATTTAATCCTTTTTTTTTCTGAATTAGGTCCAGTTCTGCTCAATGTGTGATTTAAATCCCCAGAATTATCATTGATACTTTTTTTACAAAAAGTTCTGCAGCATTGATGAGTTTCAATCCATGCAGAGATAATGGCAACTGTCCTCCTGTGCWTGCTCATAAAATTGATCTGAGAGAGATCAATGAGATGGTGGGACTTTCCTTAAAACACCAGAATGATGCTTAAAAAGATGAGAATGGGATTTTTTTTTTTTTTAAATTAAACACATAACCAATCTTCATGTAAAGCAAGATGGCTTCAGCTTGTGCTGAGGAAGGAATTAACACATCAGGTGAAAAATTCACCTCCACAAATGGTGTTCCTGAAGGAAGGGGAAACCAAGTTTGAAAGATACCTGTATAAAAAATGGATTGGTTTGATACTTTCCTGAAACAATTACAACTGCTATTTCCAYGCACTGCATAAACTATTTCATCTTCTTGTCTACTGGAAAAAAAAACTTATACAAACCCTGTGCAGGACCCACTCTGAAATTTAATATATGGGGGAACATTGTGATTAAAAAATTTGAATTTGGCAGTCTTAATTCAGGTCAGATTGCCCTGTCCTGAAGATGTAAGTTTTGATCTCTTAATGAGTTATCTCCTCTCAAAACACTGACAMAGAGCTCAAATAACAACATTGAGTTTTCTGCAGTGTCTTTAGCCCCACTGGAGTCTCTGATCCCCCTGTTCTCCTGCTTATAGGATAAACGTGGGAACTCAGTGCAATAAATGTAAGGAGGCGTACACAAAGGAGAGATGGTAACCAGAGCTTCCCTAACRGGCTGTTATACTCTCTAAACCTAGAGCAACACACAGAGAAAATTATTTTCTTATCAACAGAATCTGCTGGGGATCTGAAAAACAGGCTTTTTGTATTTAGCTTCTCAAGTGCAGACTTAAGATGTGTTTGCTGATGCCTGCTGAAAATTTCCAGTGCRCCTTGTGCATCCCACTCCACCAAAAATACTGCATGGAACCTGTTTGTAGAAACCCTGAGGGTGGAAATGCTGATTACAGCCTCTGAAATTCTGTCATAAACAATGCAAAATATTAGCATAAATTATATCAGCATTTTTTTTTGTTGCTGTTTCTGTCATCTAATAAGTTCAATCTAAAAATCATTAAAGAATTTTATATTCTCTAATCAGAGTGTTCTTACCCTGTTTCAGTCTGCAGGGGGTAGCTGGTTTCCCTTCCAAGAAAGAAATATTGCTCTGGAAAAAAAGTGTTTCTGACCTCTTYTAGACTGAGATTTTGGGCTCTACTTTCTGTTTGTTTCAGAGTTATTCCGCTGACCAGGGACTCCACAGGAATTCCTTTACATTGAGCAACTCCAACAGCTCTTTGGGCAACCCTCCCTCCTCCTTGGCTCTTTCTTGTTGWGTGTCTGCTGGGATGAGCTGGTTCATGGTCATGGCTGGGTAAGAGTGGATCCATTCTGCCTTAGACATTGGCTGTTTTGTGAAACCTGCTCATGAAAAATGTATTTACTGGATTATAAACCCATTACCTTAGATTTTGTGCTATCTGACAGACTGATCTGCTGGTAACAACRCTGCAGGAATGTGGGTTAGTAAAGATTTTGTGTTGTCAGCTTTTAATATCATCCTTAGTATTTTTTTTTTTTTTAAAGCAGGATATGGTAATGTCACTGTGTTTCAGATGCAATATCTGAGAACATTTTCAAGAAAATCCCAAAAAAAGCACCTTCTCTCTAAAAACAACATGGTTATCTGAACTCAGGCTGTGCACTTGTTTCCCGTGGAGCACAATTTTACAGAATACATGAGCACATTTCCCTGTCCCTGGGTGTTTGCCAGACTAAACCATCCATTCCACATCCACAGACAATCCCCRTCTGTCCTGGGGTTTCCAGATGCCCCTTTGGGTTCTGTCAACAGGGGCTCCAGCAAATTGTTTCAATGCTGTTTTCTTTGTCAAGAAGAGTTTAAACCCCATCCTCTGCTGGCAACTTTCCCTCCTAATTGCAGCGAAGTGGTGCTGCCAATGCCATTGTGGAGAGGTTGATAGTGGTGGGTTTTTAAATGACAAGGCACAGAGGAAAAGCCCCTGTTCTCTGGAACCCGCTGTAGGAGCAGATAAATGTATGTTAAATGTATAATTAGTGAGGCAAATCTTGCAGAGGAATCATCRGTGGCCTTTGCAGAAAGGATCTGTCTTGCAGGGCTGATTGAATAAAAGGCACAGGGMTGGGGATGTGCTTAATGATGGCAAAACCAGAGCAAAGATTGGCCTGGCAACCACAGAGAGGGGAGCAGATGAATCCTGAGGAATTCTGGGGCAGAGCATGTGGAAAAATGAAATAAAAGATGCACAGACACAGGTGGGGCAGAGACATAAAGATCTGGGGTTCGTGAGGAGGGAGAATGATGTGGATGTGATCACTGCTGGGTAGGCATGAGGGGGGAGATTGCAGCTGCGTGATGGGGTTTGCTGGAGAAGTTGTCAAAAATCAAAACAGCCAAAGGACAGACAAATATTTTAGCCACAGATTTTTGAAGGAAAATCAGCTACTTAAAAAAACTCCCACAATTGTAGTGGAGAAAAAAAACAAARTCTGTGGTCAGGGCAGTGTGGATTTGCCACGAGGATAATTCCAAAGTCCTGAGAGTGCACTGAGACAGTGAACCTCAATGACAGGATAAATGCTTTATTTTTCTCATGCAAGCTGTCAGAAATAATTACACTTAATTTATAGTTTTCATTTGAAGATATATTCAGCAGCTCTCAAAAGACACTCCTATGTCCAAAAGCACATTCCGAAAGCTCCAACTCCTCCGGTAGAAGTAATTGTTCTCTTTTGTAACTTAAAAAAAACACGTTTGGYCTCCTCTCATATCTGCCTTTGGTACACTGGCTTAGCAGATGCAGACATTCCCGTGCTGGYTGTTCCAGCAAGGTGAATTATGATTATAGCACCAAGCATGAGCATCTGACGTTGACAAGATTTTTCTGCAAGTCACCRTGAGGTAACGAGAAGTGTCTGCTTTAATGCTCTTCGCTGTTTAAATTTTTATTGTATTCAGCTGGAATTTTTTTTTTCATACCCTTTGATGAAAGTTCAGAGGGAAGATGAATTTAAAAGTCTTCAGGTTTGTTAGATCTGCTACARCTTGCCAGTCACCCTGCCAAAATTTTCCACTGTGTACTTCTTATAGTTCTGCGTGGTCTAAATTTAATTGACTGCAGATGAGAAGCACTATTACAGATCTGTCATTGCAGCCACTCTTCATACGTTTCACTAGCTGGAATGAGCAGTCACTGGGTTTGTTTCTGACCTAATTCATAATGATGTAAAGCAGAAGTGATTTCACAGAAGAGGAAGCAGATTTAGCTGGTGAGAAGGGCAGAACTGGGCTCAGTGCTGCTCCAGCAGTGCTCRTTTACAGGTGAGTGGAAGACTAAAGTCCATTGTTAAAACACTGAATTTCAATTTTGTGGGAACAGAAATACATTATATAAGCTGTTCAGCTGATGTAACAACATAATTCATCATTTTATTTTGCTGACTCTATTAAGACAATGCAAAAAGACAGTAATCTGGGCTCTCCAGCCTAGCCCCTCCTTAGGATACTGAACAGTCTTGCTAGAGCAGAGCTCTAAAGATCAAAGAATGGACAGAGATATATTTAACATGCCAGCTTATAAGAACTGGTAATGTTATTTCAGTCTATTGAAACACTATCATTCCAGCAGCCTCATTTTAGTGAGTTTATGTAAACTAATTTATATGTGGATGTCTGGATTTGTCTGTGCATTGATTTATCAAGTATATTTGTTTATTAAATCCCCTTACTGATAACAAACAACTACTACTTCAGGTAATTGACTTAAAACATGGGGGAGATCATTGCCAGCTGATCCTGTGCCAGGAGTTACAGCACAAATTAATACAGACCAGAAGCCTACGTGCCTTGTACTTGCTCCACCAGATCAATATGTGAAGTGAGGCTGTGGCATCCACCAGGATTGTTAACAGCATCTTTAACAGCATCTTGTCTGGAATACAGATGTCCAGCACGTTTCTAGCAGGATCCTTTTTTTTCCCCTTTGCATATAATTTGTATTAATAGCTGGATTTGGGAGAACAGAAAGGCACTGTGATCTTAGTGGGAACRCACAGGGAGAAGTTGAGACTGTGATCTTCCTCTGTTAAAATTGATTGTCGTGTGATGGATTTGGGCTCTCTCTAATCTGGGACAATCTCAAAAATTCCTGAGGGTTTTCCTGCGAAATGCAAATGTGATGTTGAAATGGGAAACCTCTCTGCAYAGCCATGAGCAGCAGTTTGAGGCACAGAAGGTGAGATGGACTGAGAGACCCGAAAACAAAGCCCTCATCAGAGCAGAAACGTCCAGCTTCCTGTCAACACCAGCAGTTAAACAACTCAGGAGCTTTTCAAACAATTGCTGGGGCTGGAGAAGGAGCTGTGACATCTGTGCTGTCAATTAAAGCTGCGTGGAGAAGGACAAGAACAAACACTTGTTAACAGGGTTTTGGGTATGAATAATCATCCTCTGCCCTCGCAAACCGAAAGTGGTGGGTASTGATTTACTGCTGAGGAAGAGAGGCAGCCAGGGTATGGCATGGAATATTGCTTTTCCAAATCAGATTTTCAATATTAYTGCCTAGGTATTATTAAATTAACCATTGGAAGTAAAGAGCCAGGTTAAGGTTTGGAGTTTTCTTCCTCAATCACTTCATTTCTTCCCTAGTTACGTCAATGGCTTTTACCTGGGTGAGGACAGCAAAAAGTTTAATTGCATTTATGGGGTTGTTTCATCCAGAATCACAAAACATCTCAACTTTATCTCAGAATCTGGGTTTATTTGCATAGTCTGTACATCATATCTTCCTTCTGGGTTGTTTCTCCTTCTTGGAGTATTTCCATCTGACAGARGAAATCTACACTAGATTTACAAATTGGGATTTTCAAAATTTATTCCAAATTCTGAACACAAGASTCAGACTTGTCTTTTGATGGAATTTGTACCTCAGGCCTTTTTGGGCTTTCAGAAGGACAAGCCAATTCTCAAACATTTCCAGCAATAAAGATTTTCAGTTTACTTTAGAGTTTTTGGCCTTTAAAAATGTGTTTTCTACCATTTCTTGTACTAATGATTTGTTGTTTCTTCACAAGAGTGCTCGCAGACGGCAAAGTTTAACTAATAAACATGCAAATGTGTTCACAGGAAGGTTTGTGCCAGAAATTTTTATGGGTCGCTGTTCTGCTCCTGATTGAGTGAATCATGGTGGCTGCTCTAACTTTCTTCCTCTTTTCAAATTTGGTAACCAATGATGGAGCAGAAAAGAACTGGGTAAGAGGAAGGTTGTCAGTTCAACATCTACAGCTGGAAACATTAATAAAAATGTCCCTCTGACTTTTCCCCAAAGRAAAATCTATGTAGCATGAATTTTGTTGGCAATTTTAAATAGCCAACTGAAAGAAATTTGACTTGTGAATTATTAATATGCAATTAATTTGGTTTTATTTTAGAAAAAATGTTGCAGCAGCAAAATAATATTTGGGAGGGGGTTTTTGCAAGGGATTTTTTTTCAGTTCTTTTAAGTGCAAGAAGTTAGGGAGCAAAGTGTGCAATAGTGAAGCTTTTTGGAAATGTTCTTCTCCATTTCAGGCTCAGGGATCTTAGACGCTTCACACTTCTCTCAATAGTGTCCTTCAGTTTCTTTCCTTATCTATTTCTCTCCTCCCTCTTGGTCTTTGAAAAACATAATATCTCTAAACCAGAATGTTTTACATGTAAAATAGTCCCACTCACTTGCAGGCTTTGAGTAATAAGAACAAAAAATTCAAAGACGCATTCAAAGAATAAGAATTCGAATTGTGTTACTTTCCTCTGTTCACCTTCCACGGCAATGTTCAGCATTGATTTGAAAGGCTAAAGGGTGTGGATTGTGTAACTCAGAGCCAGCCCCAGCGTCACCTCCCCTGTCCTCTGTCACCAGCTCCACTTCCCTTCATGTCATGTGTCCTACGTCACCTGTGTGGGTGCTGCTTTTACATCCAGGAGCCTAAATCTGCCTCATGGACTGGGGAAAA